TAACAATTTATAATAGCATAAATAAATTCAATAATTTTATAAATAACATCGGAAGTTCAAAATAATCAAATTTGGGAAGTGTTACCGCCGCACTTGTACAGGGACAAGTGCAAGGCTAACTCTATTACATTCAAATAAAAATCTAAGACTATAGTTTTTTTTTTTATACATAATATTTATGACAGCTAGAAATATCCGAGTCGTGATCCTCACTGCCCACAGCTAGCCCCATCCTTTGCAACATGCTTCACTGAAAATCTGCTCCCCCGCAGCCGCAGGATCATTGCAGTCAAACAAACACAAAAGTCAGCAAAGCTGGTAATCCCAATCAAAATACGATTAATGTAATTAATAACAAATTAAATCAAATATCAAATAGTGTTCAAATCGATTCCACATTAATCAAATCAAATATGAATATAATAATCAAAATTCCATTATATAATATTTATCTTTATTAAGTTCATTTGATGTATTTGGTAATTATCAACTAACATATTTAGCACAACATTAATCATAATATGATAATATTCACAACTCAATGACATTCTTCATAATCAAATCAAATAAAAAATTTCATTATTAATAATGTTTAAGTTCATTATATTTAGTGGGAAGAGAACCATGGTAGACCCGGGAAACCCTGCCAGTCTACCCCGTGACCCGGGAAAAAACCACTGTTACCAGCCACGTATAATCAAAATTGGCCATAATCAATTCACATCTTCCTAGTGTGCACACCTCTTCCCAAAGTTGCTACTAGTATCCCGGGAAACCCTGCCAGACACCACTTTGGAAAGAACGGATATAATCTTTTTCACATCGGAGGCATAAAGCCCAAAAGTTGTGTTCATCACCTTGGGAGGTACCATCCCAAAGCTAGAACGGATATAATCTTTTTCACATCAGTTTCACATCGGAGGCATAAAGCCCAAAAGTTGTGTTCATCACCTTTGGAGGTACCATCCCAAAGCTATCCTCCCACTATTAATTTATTCAATCACATACAATCAATCCAATCTTGTCACGATTCTCATAATTGTCAAATAGTTTTCATGATTTCCACATCAATTTAATCAAGAGTATAATTTCAAAATTCAATCTTTCAATAATATCATAATTTCCAAATCTGTTATCTAACAATATCATAATTTTCAAATCCATCATAATTTTCAAATCCATTATCCAATAATATCATAATTTTCATATTTAACATCTACCAGAGCGAAACCCAAATCCAATCATCATATCATAATTTTCCAAATCAAAATTCAAATATTCACATCTATTAGAGTAAAGCCAAAATCTAATAATTAATCCAATTAGTTTCTAGAGGTTAAAATAATTTAATTTAAATACCTTAAGGGTTACATATAATATATTAAAACATCCTAAAATTTCCTAAGGATTGAGATTACATATATCAAACATATAACTACCTGAATAATAGGACACCCAATAAAATTTCATACACAACAAATCTACAACCACCTAGAGATTAGGATTACTATTAATAAACTTCAAACAAAATTATAACCTAAGGATTAGGATTACCTGGTCTCCATTTTCGCTAACTTCTAGAAGAGAATAAATTGGGGCAGAGAACCGGTTGGTAACCAAAAGAATATAGAAAATAAAACAAATAAACTTTTGAAGTAAGGAGAGAGAGAGTAGTAGAGGAGAAATGTTGAAGAGTGAATTGGTTTGGTTAGGCTAGACCTCTATTTATAGTTGAAGTTTTGGGCTCAGATATGGGTTTCGTGCATTTATTTCCTTTTTCTTTATTGATGTATTTGACTCAGATATTGACTTCATACATTACTGACTCAATGCTGACTCATCATATCTAATCAAATTACCAATCAACATTACCAATCGAACATTACCAATCAATCATTACCAATCAATCATTACCAATCGAACATTACCAATCGAACATTATCAATCAATCATTATTAATCAATCATTATTAATCAAACATAAATACATAAATCATCAATTAATAAATCAGTTAATCATAATTTATCATCTAATATATATATATATATATATATATATATATATATATATAATTATATATTATCACATAAATCAAATAATATTACTATTATTATCTTACCTCTTATTATTTTAACTATTATTAACTCATTAATTAAAAATATTAAATACCAATATTATTAATTACAAAAATACTAAATATCATTATTATCCAAAAATATTTATTATTATATTATTATTATTATTTTATTAATAAAAATATGGGGTATTACATTCTACCCTCCTTAAAAGAAGTTTCGTCCTCGAAACTTAAAAGTTTGAGCTCCTCAAATTAACTAAAAGGCATAAGGTTAAAGTTAATAAAAATATGGGGTATTACAGCTGACCTAACTTTTCGAAAGCTAGAGTTTTATAGCCATTGCATTGCACTTCTTCACTTATTCAACCCCTTGGGTACTGAAACCCTTTCTTGCTCATCCAGTTGTGACCTGTAGGGTGGTCTTCCTCCATTAAAACAAGCTCCTTCTCTAACATAGAGAAATTCAATGATCTCCCTATCTCAACCTCCTCCTTCAATCCATTGAACTCTTTAATTTCTAGTTCTTGATCCAGCACATAGAAATGCACTCATGTACTACCATCAAAGATGGGTGACTCCACCTTTCTTGCCTAATAACAAGCCTCCTCACCACTACACTTCGTCCTACTCCCCTCCACATTCTTCTCTACATGCCCGGTCAGATGGGGATGAATGCCCTCATGAATAGGTAGCTTATTTGAGCCCTCGTCCTCCAAATTATGCCTTGTTTCTACATCCACCTTCCAAGTATATGCTTGATCTCTTTGATTCCATCAACCCTCTTCTTGATCTCCGATAATTGAGACCTATGCTTGCAGGTCACCTTTAGAATCTCCATTGAATGCTCCAACACTTCCACTCCTAATTTCATCTCCCTCAATCTTGATACGGGAGGTTGAACCAAATTATAATGAACCTAGAAATGGATTCTGAGTTTTCAAAGAGAGATGAGTAAACAAATGAAAGGAGAAAAAATACTTCAGTAATGATGAAATACAAATAAAGAACAAAGGAGAGAATTATCCTTCACTTGGCAATAGAAAACTGAAATATTATCAACAAGTACAAAAGGGGTCCAATATTCATAGAGAGATAATGGGCCTAATGTGTTGAAGAAGGAATAAGTTCAAATCCTAAAAATAAGGAAACGCTAATCTAGTGAATAAAGGGAATAGGATAAATAATTGCAGATATTTTCCATATTTACACCACTCCCCCTAAAGTCAAGGGATGGATATTTATCATTCCCAAGTTGTTAATAAGTTCTGAAAACTGTCGGCGGGAAGTCATTTGGTCCAAATATCAGCTAATTGATGACCAAAAGAAATATATGGAGTAATGATCAATTCGCTGTCTAATTTCTCTTTGAAGTGGCGGTTGATCACAATATATTTTGTTCGGTCGTGTTGGATAATATTGTGTGCTATACAAATGGCTGACTTATTATCACAAAGTTACTTTATAGATCCTTCACATCTCATTTTGAGATCATCTAGAATGATTTTCAGCCATAACAATTCACAAATACCTTGGGTCATAGCTCAAAATTTTCCTCTGCACTTGACATAGCAACACATTTTGCTCTTTACTCCCCAATGTCATTAGGTTTCCATAAAGAAACATACAATAGCCTGAGGTAGACTACCGATTAGTTACTAATCTAGCATGATCGGCGTTTGCGTAAAATTCAAAGGATAGGTTTTGCCCTCTTCAAAATAATAATCATTCGCATGGTGTGGCCCTAAGACATTGGAGAATTCTATCCACTGTATGCGGGTGTTTTTTCCCTTGGGTCGTGCATGAATTGGCTAACAATGCTAACCGCATAAGCTAGATCAGATCTAATATGAGCCAAATATATCAATTTCCCACCGATCATTGATATTGTCCTATGTCAACTAGAGGCCTCTCCTCTTTGCTTTCCAGTTTGTGATTCTACTCAATTGGAGTACCGAAAGGTTTACACCCAAATTTTCCTATTTCTTTAAGGAGATCAAGGACATACTTTCTCTGACAAATAAAGGGGTACAATATTTATAGAGAGGCTAATGAGCCTAATGGGATGAAGAAGGAATAAACTAAAATCCCAAAAATAAGGAAACACTAATATGGATAATAAAGGAGATAAATGATTTGTTGAGATATATAAAAACCATTAATGTAGCCTCACCCAACAGCTTAAGCTTTTAGGTTGAATTGGTTCTTTACATGATATCAGAGCCTCGGTGTACCGGGTTCAATCCTCACCACCCCCACTTTCTTTCTAATGGAATTTCTTTCTTCGCACAGGTAGATGTGCCTATGCATTGTCCACCCTTGAAGCCCAGTGGGCTCTCGTGTGAGGGGGCGTGTTGAGATATATAAAACCATTAATGTAGCCTCACCCAACAGCTTAAGCTTTTAGATTGAATTGGGTTTTTACATAATTATAAATATTTTTCATATTTACAACACCTTTCAAGGGGTTTCCCTTTCTACAACAAATCTAATGCTCAGTTTCCAAATGATAATCAGAAACCCCGCTCTTCTGCCCTTTCCTCCTATTTAAGCTAACTCTCAACCTCTACAATTTTAACCACATAACTTTTCTAACCAACTAACTAGTCTAACTAACTACTATCTAACCACTTCACAAAAATAAAAAGAATGATGCCTTAGGTAGGACTTTATATACAATTCAATTAACCAGTAAATGTAGAAGACTACACATTTTGAAACTGTTAAGGAATACAAAAAAAGATTAATGAAAAGAAAATTGCAACTACTAAAAAAATACTACAGTGACTTGCAGCAAGTTCCTGATCATTTATTCGATCATGCAAACAATACATCAATTTTTTTTGCCGGATCACATCTTTTATGTAATACTAGGACACTCCTTCCTTGGCAATTAAATAGGGAAACAGAAATTTACACAAAGTACCTCAAAAACTTTTTGCATTTGTTCCCCTTTGACATTCTTCATTACATCTTGTTGCTTCCTAGATCCATGAGTACGCATGATATAAGATGGTAAGAACAAGTGCCCGCCCTTGTCATGCCTAAAAAGAGCATTATCAGATATTAGGCACACAAACACACACAGACAAGCAGCTAGGACATTATAAACAAAATGTGAACAGTTACTTGTATTCTTTACCACTTCCATATTTTTTGCAATTCAAGTTAGTTTCCATGTTTAAAAGAACTAGCTATAAGTTCATTTGATTAGTTGTCGTCCTTTATCTTTGATTTTGAGAGAGATTGGAACTGAGCACAATAAATCATTTTTTTTTTTTGGTACAAACAATAAATCATTTTATAATGACATAAAATCTAACCAAATGCAGGAATTTCAAAATACAATACTAGAAGGATCAATTCCATTTGTCATACCCTTTCCACTTTTTAGGAGGTATTAACATTGGCATGTAAGGCATTAACATATGCTTAGCCTGCACCAAAACAAGGACATTGATCAGTAAGTAAGCAACTTAAGATATATTCACTTTATGTAGTGCATGCTAACTATTCTGTAAGGGTTAGAAGTATCTAATATTTAAATGATGCCTAATGGCATGCTTAAAAGCAAACAAGTTTGAGAATAACCGAACTTATGACCATTAGTTGTGTGGAAGTTTAATGATTTCAACAAAAACTTCATGATTTTAGCTAGTAATAGTAGGAAAAAACAAGGAACTCAGAAAAATATGGACCAGATTCCATTCAAGTGGAACATCTTTGGCAAGATGCTTTCATAGATTGATAAGAAGCAAGGTGTCCAGGTCCTCGTCTACCTACATCTAAATCCTAGTTCTTTCTATTTTGGGGCAGGGAAAGTGGGGTTAAAAATAATTCTTATATACAGGAAGATCATACACATATTGCTAGAGATAATAATGAATTTTTTTGCATTCATTCATGAAGCTATCATAAAAACCGTTAACATGTTGCTCAATAACTTCAACTGAGTCAAAAATTCAAAGTATCGTTTGAGAAAAAGAAAAGATGTCTCAACTTACACATTTTTCAAGCCCAACTAGGATTAAGGGATCACATTGTATAACGCCATAATTCTTCAAAATCTTTTGCCTACAAGCACCAAACTGTTATTCAGAATTACAATTCAAAAATGAGCATGATAAAGGCACTTTCATCAATACTTTGCATGCCTATTCTTTTGAGATATTTCCTCGTTCACAGTTTAAAACATCTACCACATAGACATGGAAATTTTGAGACCCTCTTAAATGTGGACATTTATTCTTTCATTTTCCTCAAGCACAGATTCTGCATCATACTCCATCACAATACCTTCTATGCTGAAGAGCAATAGCATCATTTTGTATGGGCGTGTGTAAATCATGTCTACATTTGTGTGTGTGAGAGAGAGAGACAGAGAGAAATAAATGATAAACAAGACACATTACACATAATTTTCAAATAATCTCCTACCACAAAAACAGCTAATCTTCTGTAATCATACGGTGTCATTTAGTTATTTGAAAATATTAATTATTCATTTATAGCCCAACAACCCCCCCCCCCCCCCCCCCCCCCCCCCCCACAAAAAAAAAAAAAAAGCAACAACAACAACAAAAAAAGGTGAAGCCTCACCCTGGATTCCTTGATAAAGCTTTAAAGCCATGACTGAAAGCCGGTCGAATATCAGGTGGAGTATCAGCAGACTGGTTAACCGGAGAGTGAATGTATGCTGTTTCAATTAATAATTCTATTAATCGACTACCCAGCTGCATAATTTCATAGAGTTAACTTATTAAATTCCAGTTTTAAAACAAAAACAAGAAGAAAAAAAAGGACAATGATTACACAAGGACATGCACACAAACCTTGACCTGGGTAGCACGGCTCCAAGGACTAATTTCTTCTTTTCTCAATGCCAGCTGCACCTCTTTCATTCTTTTTCTTTTGATCAAACCATTTACATATTTCCTTTGTTTTTCGTTATCATCATTTGAACTGTCCTCGGCACCAGCCTCTGTCTTCTTACTCCGGAGACTTTTATTTCTTTCAACGAACTCATGCATCCTAACCTGAAATACAATAAGATAATTATAACTTGTATTTAATATATGAAATAACTGCATCAAATGAGTTTCAGTCAAGTGACGCTGTAAAGAACCAATTCAACCCAAAAGCTCAAGCTGTTGGGTGAGGCTACATTAATGATTTTATATATCTCTAACGCGCCCTCTCACACGATATAGCCCATTGGGTTTGAGGGATGGATGATGTATAAAGCTCAGCCTACCTGTGCTAAGAAATTCCACAATACTTTATTATTTATTAATAGAATGGGGACAGTGAGGATCGAACCCGTGACACCGAGGCTCTGATACCATGTAAAGAATCAATTCAACCCAAAAGCTTAAGCTGTTGGGTGAAGCTACATTAATGATTTTATATAACTCTAACAGACACCTACAAAAGGGAAGGCTTTTATGAAGACTTTTGAGTAAAAAAACAATCAATTATTAACTGCTTAAGCATTGGAGGTAGGCAGCGGTTGCATTCCACATGCATATATAGTTTTACTATTTCCAAGTTCCAATACATTCAAGAATAAGCCTTGGCATTCATGATGCAACAAACTAACCCCCTTTTCCATCTTAGAAACAACATAAAAAATCAATCCCCATCCAACCCTGACTGGCTAGGGTAGGGGTGAGGGCAATTCTTACCCTTGCATATTTGCAAAGAAGTTATTTCCCGAATTTGAACACGTAACCTTTCAACACAAAGCAAGAGGCTCACTCTGTTATCTTGAAAACAACATACCAAAAGAAAATTTAAATTTGAAAAAACGGTTAAACAGAAATCATTAGAGCCCCACAGTACTATTCACCACACATTGATCAACATAAACAAGTAATGGCAACCTCCTGCTACAAAGCTCCCGCTCTACACAACATGCTGGAAACGGTCTATACTAGACAGTCTTACTTTACTTTAATTTGCAAATGCTGATTACATGAGTCAAACCTATGACCTGAGTATCAATTGATAACATGAGTTTTTAACAATAAACAAGTACCTCTTGTTCCATAGCCATGCCAATCTGAACAGCAGCCTGAACAAGCTGAACACAACCTGCCTCATTCTCCATCACCAGGCCCATCATCTTATGCATCACGATAACCGCAATCTTTGCCGCCGGCAAGGAATCAATGTGGGGGGCAATGGAGGACTGCTGCTTCTTGGACCGCGCCCGGTGCGCCTTCTGCTCGGCTTCGACGGCGTCCTTGAGCGGCTCGAACCACCCCAAGAGGAGGGCCTTAACGTGAGGCAAATTGGGAGCCAACTTCTTCTGCCGCATCTCCCTCTCGAGCTCCTTGTACTCCTCCACCATCCTCTCCCACGCCTCCGTCTCCGCCTCTATCTGCCTCCGCCGCAGCGAATTGTACTTCGCCTTCTCCATCTCCCTCAACTCCATGTCGAGCCAACCCTTCAGGAAGAGGGACGAAATCCACGGCGGTTCCTGGATGAAGATCCTGTTCTTCGGGAACGCCTCGTCGTTTTTGTTGTTGTTGTCCACGGTGGAATTGAGGTCTTCGACGAAGAAATTGTCGTTGGTTGAGTCCAATAGGAGGTGGTGGTTGGGGTGGGATTGGATTGGGTTGGAGGGAGTGAAGGTGAAAGAAGAAGAAAAGGAGAATAGGGAAGAGGAGGAGGTTGGAATAAAGAGAAAGTGAAGGGTTTTGTGGGGTTTTCTTTTAACTTGAAGGTGGTTGTGGTGGTGATGGTGGTGGTTGCTGGTGGCGGTGTTACCGTAGTAGGCATGAACTTGAGGAGTGGGAAATGAAGATGCCAATGTCATTGTAGATATTGGAGAATTGGTGTTGTAGTATATGGGTCTCTCTGTTTCTTCTGGTGAAAGAGTGAGTGGGTGGAGAGTGTGGGAATGAAAGAAACACAGAATGATTGTGCGGTGTTCTTGCAGGATGTGGATGAAACCTCTCTTAAACCTTATACAGTGATGGACCCACTACTAGATTTTTTTTATTTTTTCTTTTTTCTTTAAAGAAACGAAATCACTTAGGCTTGTTTCCCATAATATAGGAAATTTTACGGGGGTATTGAATTGAGCCTTTAAAGTATTTTAATGAATTATTTTTGAATAAAAAAATTTATTGATATTCAATTAAAATTTTAAAGGATTAAAAAAATTATATAATATTCGATTAAAATTTTAAAAGATTATTTTAGAGTCCGTCGAAATATGTTGTTATTCAATCAGGATTTTAAACAAAGGAAAAATAATAATTTTGTGGTATTCAAAAATATAACGATTTTAATGAATTTTCTATTGGTATAAATTTTGTGAAACTTTTTAGTGAGAAATATAAATAGGATGTCTTTCTCACAATCTCAACCTAATTCCTAGGATTTCTTGAGAATTTTCTATTGTAGTGTCTTCTTCTTTCTTTGACAGGTCAACCCGCTAGAAATCAGGTTCTGCCATAAGAGTTTCGTCAAAGGTCAAAAGCAGCAAATTTTGAGTCATTTTTATCACAAAACAACTTAGAAACAACAAACAAGATTTTAATTTAATCCATCTCAAAACCAGAAGATTTTTTAGCGAATTTTTAGAGTTTTTGGAAGTTTAAAAATTATTTTTCAAGCTATTGGTTGATATTTTTACTGCACAAAAATGTATGATTTTTGTATTAAAAATAACGTAAAACAATAGAAAAATAACATAGGAACAAAAACCCCTAAACCAATTTTTGTTTTACATCAATGAAACAAGATTGATTTAAAGAAAAAATAAAACTTTCATAATATGAACCCTATGTTTCACAATAATATATTCATGAACGAAATTCCTTCGCTATAGGAAACGATTTTAAACAAGTTTTGTGTCAATAAATCACTAAAAACTTGTTTTTCAAAAATCTCAAAGTATAATATCACTCACATGAGATGTAATTAATTGCATGTAATTAGGCAATTAATTTTGCATTAGTGGATTATATTAGGTAAAATATCTAATTAAATGACTTAGAGTCACTTTTGAGGTAAAAGTGCAGTCAGTGAAAATTATGGGGTAAAAATATGTGTAGGCAAAAGTACCTAAAATATAAAAATAAAATTAGAAATATTCCTAGAAAAATATTTCAGACCATTAGGTAAAGTTTGAAAAAATAGAGCTGAATAGATAGATGAGCTCATACCCAGTGGAGAAAACTTAACTAAGTTAAGTGCAAATAAACCAAATGAAGCTTCATTTCTTCTTCTTCCAGCAGACGAACCCGTGAGAGAGGGAAAGGAAGGGAGAAATCATTTTGGAAGAGCAAAACCCTAGCCACTCTATTTCTCAACCATTTTTAGTAATTCAAAAGCCAAAACCACTTAGAATCTTCCTCTCATCCTTAATCCTAGCTTGGTTTTGAGTGGAGAGCATTGTGGTGTGAGATTTTTCTTCCCAAAATTTCGCCCCTTTTGAATATTGAAAGGGTTTGGGAGCATTTCACTTCTTGGGGACTTAGGGAACACTCATTCCATGGTTGTGCAAGCATTTGTGGTAAGTTTCCACTCCTTGAACTTTGTTTTCATGGAGATTGCAAGTTTGAGGAAGATGATGAATAGTGTCATAGTGGGTGGTATGAGTTTGAGTTTGAGTTTGATTTAAGCTTAATCCTTTTGTAATAGTTGTTAGAAATGATAAATAAACGGTAAAAATGAGTTTGGTTAGTTATTTGGTTATTGTTCGATATATTGGAAAATTCATGCTTAGGCTTGTGAGTGTTCTAGCATTTTGAGCAATTAGTGAGCTGGATGATTGATTGTGTCCCTTGTGTTGCTAGGATTAAGGCAAATGGACCAACTTTGAGTGACCACACATTGGAGCAAGCTATGGAGCTTGATTAGCTCATTTGGATAGGTAAGTCCATTCCAAGTTGTGGTGTGGAATTGTTTTGTTGATGAATATGTTGATATTCATTAACTTGTATTAATTGATTGTGTGACACCTTGGTGTAGGTGAGTATTTTGCAAAGTTGTAGCTTGAATTCAAAGTTTGATTGGTTGCAAACTTGTTGGTGAACAAAGGTTGAATTGAAGCAATGTGGTAAGCCTTCAGACCTTGGGTGTAAATCCCTTTTATTGTTTCACCAAGCCCTGAATGGGTAGTGATTGTTTATAGTGTATGTAAATACAATAAGTAGTTTAATGCTTTGTTATACGTATGGGTATGCTTTGGGTGTGACATAGGATGGTGTTTCCCTATGTTTGTATGTTGCATGACGATGCGTAAATCATACTTGGTAGATTCTCTGATCAGTAGGACTATTTGCATCTGAGTATACTTAGGACAGTAAGAGCTCGAGGGATTTCTCCTAGAGATGTTTGACACACTACATGGATATGTATTTACTGTAATATTTACTGTGTATTGCTATTATACTGTGATGTGAATTATGGGGTGGAGAGATGCTCCAAGGACCCCTGGTTTACTATGATATATTCGTATATCTCACCCCGTGTTGTGGGGACCCCCTTTCAGGTATAGATGCTGCAGGAGCCTCTAGTGGCAAGTGTCCGTATTTGGATTAGATGGTCATATGTTGATAGCCTACCATTTTGGATTGCATCTCATCTAGGATAGTAGGTGTATATGTCTTTTACATAGCCATATGTATATGTATATATATATATATATATATATATATTGAGGAGACATGATGTATTTTGGGGGACTTAGTGCATGATCATTGTGGTGGTGAGTGCCTTGTTGTACATGGCTTATAGCTTTGATCATGATCCTTTTGTAGATTAGTCTTTTGGCATGTATATGAAATTGGGAAGAACATTGATGTAATTGAAACTTTGATGTATTGATGAATATGTTTATCATTTTGATTTGTATGATGAATTGGTAAAGTATTTATGGAATGTAGGTGCCACATGGTGTGTGACCATGGTTGGCCTTTCTTTGTCAATTAGGTGTAATAACCCTTGAAGAATGAAAGGGGAATGAAATTTTCCCAAAGAACTCACTAAAAACAAGGGAGACCAAGTCTGCCCCAGGAGTAGGGCGCTCAAGCGCTGAGTTGGACGCTCCAGCGCACTATATACGTGAAAATGAGTCAAATCCCCTGCCTCTTGGCGCTCAAGCGCGATGGTACACGCCCAAGCGCGCTGAAAAACCTGACGATGGCAAAATCTTCCGCCGTTGGGCGCTCGAGCGCCCAGTTTAGCGCTCGAGCGCGCATCCCAAAAACAACACCAACCTAGTTTACTAAAATTGGCATAACTCAAGCTACAGATCTCCGTTTTGAGCGCAGTTCGAACCCACGCGAAGCTAATTGAGAAATCTATAACATAGTGTGAGATAAAAACTATAAAGTAAGTATAGAAATTTCAATTTAATAAGAAGTGAAGATAGTTTAATATTGAACTTGAATAAAATAATAATATGATGTTAAGTTTAGTTTTGATTATTCCACAAGGTAATAAGGTTATGGTCACACAATTGGTTATTTTAAACTCGACATTGTTAAAAAAAATCTATCCGAATTTTAATTGAACCAATGTGATTGTAACTGCACTTAATATCATAAAGCAATGATAACAAATCGGTTCTAGAACGAGGTGTTACACAAAGCAATTTAAGGTTTCAATGTATCAATTGAAAATAATTTAAATTTTTTTCTAAACTTTCATATAATAAATCCCATAAATTCAGATTTGAAATTTTCTTGGAATACTCAATGAAAATATGCATATGATATATCGATAGAAAACTCTCATCGTGTTGAACAAAAACCCTAAGGTTTACAAGATCAACTACAAAAAATTTCAAATGAAATTTTATAATGAATTTTACTGATTGAGAAAATATATTAGGTTTTACATTTTTTATTAATATCATTGCATTTCTTTGTTAATATTCATTGACTTTTGTAATTTTGAATGTTTGTTAAAAATTCTTATAGTTTTTTAAAATCTTATAAATTTATATTATCCTTTCAAAACCTATAAATTCTATAAAAATCCAATCTTATGAAATTATGATTGTAAAAAAAGTCTTTAAAATCCCTTGAATTCTAGATAATCTTTTAAAATCTATAAGATTTTTATCTCAAAAAAGTCTTTTAAAATCCTAATTCAGTACACCCCCTAAGTTCATTATTAATCCACTCCTAATGATTTTTTATTATAGTTTTGGGGGGGGGAGTTTTATGTTAATTTAGACAATTTTGTCTAATGTTCACCGAAACAACGTCATTTTGCAATTGAAAAATTAAAAAATTAGAATGATAAACACTATTATAGCCCTAAAATAAATTAAAATTATAAATACATCATGATTTTCGCTCCCAAAACGGCAGCGTTTCGGTGAACATTAGACAAAGTTGTCTAATGTAACTTTAACAAAAATGAACTCTAGTTCTAATAATTATATTTTAATTAATTAAATTATTATCCAATACGCATATTTGAATTAATTTGTTTCAACCAAATGATGGTAGTTCAATTGGCGCATGGAAGCTGAGCAGATGGGGTGAGAGCATGTGTTTAATCATCCCTAGTATCATCTTTGGGAGGGGTTTAAAGCCTTAATTATGGACCCGCTCCGAACAGGATTGCCTCTCATGAAAGATACCTATGGTTTATCCAAAAAAAATTAATTTGTTTCTGGGAAAAAAAACTTTTAAGTGGAAAATCTTTTTATTGAGAAAATTTTTAGTAAGAAAAGTTTATTTAATGTTTAGTAGAAAATTTTTGTCACTTGGAGGTAGGAGTGTTAACGGGCCGAGCCGAGCTTTGCTCTTAAAAAATAAGTCTGTGTTTAAATGTGTTAGCTTGACCAAGCTTGTTACCCGTTATGAATATAATTATCGGCTTGTGGCCTGATTTATTTACAAAATATAAAAGCCTCTG